TTCAATGAGCGTCTTAACCCGCTCTACGGACCAAGAGTAAGGTGAGTTTGGGAAGAACGAAGATATGTTAGAGTGAAAGATAGAAGTAGTCGAGTTAGAAAGATAGCATAGAGTAAGCGGACAGGATTGCACACGATGTTAGAGAGTGAAATACATACTGTTAGTTAGGTCACCTAACTAATGTACGCCGACAAAGTTGTGATTGGAGTTCACTTAACATGAACTCTTTCTTAACTTTATTTGTTGTTAATATTAATCATATTATTATAATTGCGATTAAATGTGGTTATAACAATTAACAACGATGATAAACATGAAGAATTTAGCTAATATATTTAGTTTTGATCTGGAAAATGAAAATTTTACTGAATATATTAAAAAATTTGAATAAGAGTAATTTGGCTTCAAGTTTGACTTAAGAGAAAATGTTTTTGTGCATACACGCATGACCGTGTATGTACAAAAACATTTTCTCTTAAGTCAAATCTGTCTCTTTTTTTTTCTATTTTGCCAACTTATTTTTCCTTCTTTACTTGTTTTCTCAAATTTTGCCACCTTATTTCAGAAAAAAATAAGTTTTTCATAAATAGTTTGACGATTATTCTGAAATTGAATACATTTCTATAATTAAGTTTGACAACTATCCGTTGAGAGTTAAACTAGTTTTAGGAATAATGTTATTTAATAACGAACAACCGCTAATAATCTCTAAAAATCATTAATAATCTCTTTAACAATAAACTTTGAGCAGTTAATCATATAAACATCTTTTTAGTGTTTTACTTAAAACTTTTTAAATGGTTATAAATTAACAACAAAAACAGTGAAAAAAAGTGAAGTAGGTGTCTGAACTAGATGAGTGAAAGTGAACTGTTATTTAAATCACGAATTAGTCTAATCACTTTTCTTTATCCAAAATAGCGCTAAAACTCAGGTACAGCAATTTAGATTTTATATATATATATATATGTGACCCCTGGAAACTATTAAATAAAAGTTATATATACATATATATATATATATATATATATATATATATATATATATATATATATATATATATATACATATATATATATATATATATATATAACTTTTATTTAATAGTTTCCAGGGGTCATATATAAATATATATATATATATATATATATATATATATATATATATATATATATATATATATATATATATATATATATATATATATATATATATATATATATATATATATATATATATATATGTATATATATGTATATATATATATATATATATATATATATATATATATATATATATATATATATATATATATATATATATATATATATATATATATATATATATATATATATATATATGTGTGTGACCTCTGGAAACTATTAAATAAAAGTCATATATATATATATATATATATATATATATGTATATATATATGTATATATATATATATATATATATATATATATATATATATATATATATATATATATATATATATATATATATATATATATATAAATGCAGATTAGGGTATTATAAGCGGAATTTAGTATATCTTCAAAGATAATTATGCTGGATCCAAAATTTTTGCAAATAAACAGTTTTTAGGAATCACTACTTATGTTCCACTTAGATAATTTGAGAACCCGAAATTTTTCTATAAAAGCACAGAGGTTTTAAAAAAATAGCAAAAGTGCTCATATTACCGAGACCACTTGGTAATATGAGCACTTTAAATTAGCTCAAAAATTAACATTAAAAATAGCAACCTAGCAATTAGAACTAATCTGTGGAATATAATAATTCATTACTAACTTAACTCATCAATATCAAATTTTAAACCACTTTTTATTGAAACAATACTACTATGTTTTACGCAATAAAAAAAAATTAGTTTGTAATTTTTTCAATTTTAATAACTCAAACTTTAAAATAAAAAATTACAAGTTTCTTGCATTTAAATAACAGAAAGGTTTAAAAAACTTTATATTTTAATTTTGAATAACGACAAAATATAGAAAAAAATTTTCTATGTTTTGTTGTTATTCAAAAAGCAATTAAAACCACTGCGCATTTTTTAGACTTTAAACAAGGTAATTTAATAAAAACACTGGATAATTTAAGCTCGTTTCATTAACATGCTCATTAGGGATACTTTGTCGCTCATGATGGAATTTTAATACACAGTATTGCAAATGAGTGGCGCAGAGGTCATATTTATATACGAAAAAAAAAAATTTAATGGGAAAATGACTGGAAGTTTTGACAATTGGTGCGAATTGTATCCTTTATTTAAATATATTTTAAAAAAATTTTAATTAGTATGTTATAGTTTTACCTAACAAATAAAAATTAGTATGTTACAGTTTTTTACATATAATGGGCCTATCTAGTTAAAACAAAACCTTAAAAATTACTATAATATGATGTTTTAATCAAACAGAGTGTATAAACAATAAACACATATATTTCCATTGCTTCTAAAAATGTTTTCCATCTTAACTCCACTACTATGATTAAGAGTTTACAAAGAGGTGTTAATGGGCGTAGTGACGCCGGGAGCGTGAACCGCCCCACTCCCCTCGCAATCACTGGTGTAGTGAATTGATATTTTGGGTGGGTTGTGGGTAGCGGGGAGGGGGGTGCACGGAGAACTTGTAGGAGACAAAAGAAAATGACAATTCCAGAATTTTAAAATGTGAATTTTACGAACGTGTTGTAGTTAACTAGGGCCTATTGCCTTATGTTAAGTTGGCAACTGGGAGAGCAAGGAGCCATGACCCCACTGTGTAAAAGTAGAAATAAAAAATCTCCTAATAATTAAAGAAATTATGATAAATATTTATTATAAGCTTAGACATGGCCCTCCAGTTTGAAAAACGCTTTGCCGCTGCTGACTTGGGAAGAACAAGCTGAAGTGCGATGAAAATTAGCTAAGTAATTGTTTAATTGGTAACCTATATAGTTAGCACAAAACTAAATAAATCAATATAATACGATCTTTTAATCAAACAGGTTAATCAATAATATATATTTTAAAATAGTATATATTTTAAAGCTACTATATTTACAAATCAACTAGATATTTGCCGTTTTATAGAAATTTAATGAGCATTTTACAAAGAGGTATTACTGGGTAGTTCTGCTAGAATACAAGGATCTAGAGCAAAAGATACTGTCTGTGAAACAAATAATGTCGGAACGACGGCAGTAGCTGTCTCCTTGTACGCATTTTTTGACTTTTTTCCTGGGTTTTTTCAAGAATTATTTAGTTGGAGTTTACTTTGATGAATTAATTTTTCTCGCATCAGACTAAGCTCCGTTTTAATTTCTTTGTTTTCTTTTTGAATCGATTTTTTAATAGTAATTAACTCTTTAACTGACGAGATTAAAAACTTGTCACTAATAATTTCAACATTTTTGGTTAAGATTAAGGCCTTAACTATATCTTTATGAAATTGCTTTTCGCATATTGTGATCGAAAATAGATAAATATCCTCCAAACATAATGATGTTTTATATCTTTTGCGAAGATTCTTTACAGCAGGATTTTCAAAGTCTAACGTTATATTAATATCACTGAATTGTTCTGTGTCAAATATATCCAAGATTTCAGTAAATAAGCGTTTGCGAAGAATTCTGTGTTCAGAAACTGTGTTCAAACTTTTAACAATTAAATCTTTCAGGTAAGAACATATTTCATCTAAATTTTTCAGATAGTTATCTGCAAACGTATGTGAATCACATATCAAATTAGAAATTATCTCACCCACCAAACGCGGTGCCATATTCGTATTTTAAAATCAATTATGGTGACAAGATAATACCAAATTAAGTAACAAATTTACACGGTAAATTCATTATATATATCCATAAAACATAAATAACTAAACTTATTAACACAAATAGAACTGTTTGTTTTTTGTGTTTTTTCCGTCTTGCTAAAACCAATTATCAATTATAGCTGCTAAAACCAATTATCAATTATAGCTGGCTGTGTGGCCACAGCTCCAATAGTTTGCATGGCGCTTACTTTTTTAGGGGAAATTTCTTCGCGATAATTATTCATGAAACCGGAGTACCATTTTCTAGTCGATTTGCTGTCTTTGAATAAACTAGTTGAACTTGATTCTTTCAAATAATTTTCAAAAACGATAACTTCGTCTTTTCTATTCAAGCCAAAGCCTATATCACTCATAAATTTTAATAAATCAACAATAATATCTTCTCATCTTTCTTGGCGCTCCTCGGTCATTAGATGACCCTTTTGTTCTGTCAAAAATAGTAGATTTCACAACATTACAACAATTAGTAGCTTGTACATACAACTTTTATTTTTAAGTAATAGCTTTAATAGCTAGCTGGATTCGACTCTTGTTTAAATTTATCCATATTCTATAATACAGTAAAATAATTAACACCTAAGCATAAACTTTATGCACGTTAAATAAATACCTGTACTAGGATTTAAGTGTTAATTTTTTTTTTTTTTTACTGGGTTATTTTTTTTTTATTATTTTCATGCACATAAAATAATAATTACCTTTATCCGGATTAAGGTGTCTTTTTTTTTTAGTGGTAGCTAAATTGATTTTAATTTTTTTAAATTAATTCAAATGGTAATTTAATTTTTTTTTAACTCAAATAACCAGCATAAAATTCAGCACAAAATAGTGTTTTTACTTTTTTAATTTCTTCGTTCCAAATCTAAGTTTTTATTTTATTTTTATTTTTTTTGGATAATTTAGTTGTGTTGGATTTCAAATTGAAACCTTTCATGATTGCATTTTATAAAAAAAATATTGTTCATATTGTTCGATTTGTCTGGTATAGACGTTTATTACTTAAAAAATATATATTTCATAAATTCGTTACATTAAGCGAGCTATGAAACTTTTTACTAAAACCATCAGGAATTAGGTTACAACCGGAATTAGGGGGTTTTACAAAATATATATATATATATATATTTTGGTACAAGATATAATGCGTTTTATTCTGAGTTATTTTAATTCGGTTTTTATAAATAAATTACAATAAAATATTCATCTCGAGAAAAAATATTTTTTAAAAGAAAAAATGTTATATTAATAGAAGATAACATAGCATAAATAAAAAATAAGAAAATGTTGAATCGAGAACTCGACAACTACTCGTGAGCCCTCAATCCATATTTTGTACAATTGTTTATGATATAAAATTCCTGAGTTCTGTTTTGTACATTTTTGAACCAACAACGTATCTGATATATATTCAGAGTTTATTAGTTACACTAACAGTTTATGTTTTTAAGAACGAACAGAAGAAAATGCTTTTTATACTATAAAAAGGTAATTAGGAATTTAATCTAATGTTTGATCCGTAGTTGGTATTAAAATATCTGTTAGTGATGAAAGGTTTTCGTTTAAAGTATTGAAGGTTGCTATTGGGTGACTTATTGAACTAATTGCATTATCTGATAACGATGAGCTTTCTTTAAACATATCTGATATTGTCAACGGTTGATTGGTTGGATTATCTGTATTCTCTGATAACGATGATACATTTTCATTTGTTATATTTAAGGTTGTAATTGGTTGACCAGTTGAATTCATTGTATTATCTGATAATGATACATTTTCATTTCTTATATTTAAGGTTGTGATTGGTTGACCGGTTGAATTCATTATATTATCTGAAAACGATGATACATTTTCATTTCTTATATTTAAGGTTGTGATTGATTGACTGGTTGAGTTTATTGTATTATCTGATAACAATGATGGATTTTCAGTTGTTATATTAAAGGTTGCGTTCGGTTTAATAGTTGAATTCATTGTATCTGAAAACGAAGATAGGTTTTTATTTGATACATATGTTGTGAGGGGTTGAACTGTTGAATCAATTGAATTATTCGGTAACGTTGATGAGCTTCCATTAGTCATTGGATGACTAGTTGAATTAATTGCAACATCTGTTAATATTGATGGGTTTCCATTTGTTATATTTAAGATTGTATTTGTATGACTTGTTGAATTTATTGTATCTGATAAAGATGATGGTTTTTCATTTGATGAATTTGATGTTGTAATCGGTTGAATGGTGGAATTAATCTTTATATCTGATAGTGTTAATGGGTTTTCATTTGACATATTTAATGTTGTGGTTGGTTGACCAGTTGAATTAACCGTAATATTTGACAATGATGATCGTTTTGATATATTTGGTGTTGTAATTGATTGACTGGTTGAGTTAATTGTATTATCTGATAACAATGATGGCTTTTCAGTTTTTATATTAAAAATTGTTGAATTAATTCCAATATCTGATACAGAAGATAGATTTTTATTTGTTATATTCAAAGTTGTGGTTGGTTGACCAGTTGAATTCATTGTATCTGAAAATGATGATAGATTTCCATTTGATGTATTTGATGTTGTGATGGGTTGATCTTTTGAACTAATTGTAATATCTGATAACAATGATGAGCTTCTATTTGTTATATTTGATGTTGTCATTGTGTGACTGGTTGAACTAACCATAATATCTGATAACATTGTTGGTTTTTCATTTGTTATATTGAAGGTCGTGTTTGGTTGACTAGTTGAATTCATTGTATTATCTGATAACAATGATTGACTTTCATTTGAAATATTTGCTGTTGTCACTGGTTGACCTGTTGAATTAATTCCAATATCTGATACAGAAGATAGATTTTTATTTGTTATATTCAAAGTTGTGGTTGGTTGACCAGTTGAATTCATTATATCTGAAAATGATGATAGATTTCCATTTGATGTATTTGATGTTGTGATGGGTTGATCTTTTGAACTAATTGTAATATCTGATAACAATGATGAACTTCTGTTTGTTATATTTGATGTTGTCATTGTGTGACTGGTTGAACTAACCATAATATCTGATAACATTGTTGGTTTTTCATTTGTTATATTGAAGGTTGTGTTTGGTTGACTAGTTGAATTCATTGTATTATCTGATAACGATGATTGATTTTCATTTGAAATATTTGCTGTTGTCACTGGTTGACCTGTTGAATTAATTCCAATATCTGATACAGAAGATAGACTTTTACTTGTTATATTCAAAGTTGTGGTTGGTTGACCAGTTGAATTCATTGTATCTGAAAACGATGATAGGTTTCCATTTGTTGTATTTGAGGTTGTGCTGGGTTGATCTTTTGAACTAATTGTAATATCTGATAACAATGATGAGCTTCTATTTGTTATATTTGATGTTGTCATTGGGTGACTGGTTGAACTAACCATAATATCTGATAACATTGTTGGTTTTTCATTTGTTATATTGAAGGTCGTGTTTGGTTGACTAGTTGAATTCATTGTATTATCTGATAACAATGATTGACTTTCATTTGAAATATTTGCTGTTGTCACTGGTTGACCTGTTGAATTAATTCCAATATCTGATACAGAAGATAGATTTTTATTTGTTATATTCAAAGTTGTGGTTGGTTGACCAGTTGAATTCATTGTATCTGAAAATGATGATAGATTTCCATTTGATGTATTTGATGTTGTGATGAGTTGATCTTTTGAACTAATTGTAATATCTGATAACAATGATGAGCTTCTGTTTGTTATATTTGATGTTGTCATTGGGTGGCTGGTTGAACTAACCATAATATCTGATAACATTGTTGGTTTTTCATTTGTTATATTGAAGGTCGTGTTTGGTTGACTAGTTGAATTCATTGTATTATCTGATAACAATGATTGACTTTCATTTGAAATATTTGCTGTTGTCACTGGTTGACCTGTTGAATTAATTCCAATATCTGATACAGAAGATAGATTTTTATTTGTTATATTCAAAGTTGTGGTTGGTTGACCAGTTGAATTCATTGTATCTGTAAATGATGATAGGTTTCCATTTGTTGTATTTGAGGTTGTGCTGGGTTGATCTTTTGAACTAATTGTAATATCTGATAACAATAATGGGTTTCCAGTTGATATACTTGAGGATGTGATCAGTTGGCCAGTTGAATTCATCGTACTATCTAATAACGATGGGTTTTCATTTGAGATTGGCTGACTGGTTGAGTTAATGTTCTCTGATGGTAATGATTGGCTTTTATTTATGATTTTTGAAGATGAAATTGGTTGAATGGTTGAATTGAAAGTGTTGTGTGACAGATTTAATACACTTGTTACTAAGTTATATTGATTGGTTGTGTTAGCTTGGATATCTGATAAAGCTGTTTTCAAATGTTCTAACGACATGTTTTTCTTATCTGTTGGCTTATCTGTTGAATTAACTTGAGTATCCAAAAGTATGGTGATATTATTATTAAATGAACTATGATTTGTTGATATGTTTACAATGTCAGTGAGAAAGGAATCAGGAAACCAATTTGATGTGAACATAGATTCATTGTTAGGTTGGTTGCTAGCTTTTAAACTACATATTTGGTCAATTTCTCTTTCTAATACAAGCTTCTCATTGGATTCTTGAACAAATATTACGAATAAAAAATCATTATATTTTACAACTTCATTTATATTACTGACAACGATTATTAACTTGTTATTACTGCTTTTATTTAATTGACCAAGGTTGTACAAAGATTCGTTTAAAATTTTGTTGAAAAGTTTATGATCTTGTTTTTTCACATTGAAAAATGAATTTATAACATCTTTAACAATCATCTTGTAATTTTCAGATGTAACATTAAATTTCATTGCAGGATTGGACAAAAAATTTATAATAGTTCCTTGAAAATATGTCTTTTTTTTTAAGCTTTTCAATATTTTAGAAAGCACTGATCTTTGGATGTGTTTATTAATAGCAAGGACAAAATCAAGCGAACAATCTAAAAATAGAAAATTAAATGACATTACTAAATAGAACTGTTTGCAATTCTTTTAAATTAAGTTAAAGATCATTGAAAAAGTGCTTGATTATTTTTTTCGCTGTTGTTATTTTTGTTGTTGTTGTTGTTTTTGCATTTTTTGAAATACAATATTAATTAAATATATATATATATTAAGTAAAAATATTAACTGGTATAAATTTAACAAAGTAGATCGTACGTTGTTGTCAGAATTGTTTAAAGAAATAAAATGCGATAAAAAAACTATAATAACTATAAAGCATAATCAATTTTAAAATATAATCTATATAAAACATATTTTTACCGACGTTTTAAAGGTAATCGAACACTTTATCCAAAGAAAGTGTGAATTATTCAAACTTTTTTAAATGTATAAGAATTACTTATTCGCACGCACGTGCGAATAGGTTATATTTTAACATTTAAATATAACCTATTCGCACGTGCGTGCGAATAGGTTTTATAATAATTATTTAAATAATAATAGTTTTATAATAATAATAGTTATAATAATAATATTTATATAATATCATAATTTTATAATAATGTAATACCATAATTTCATAATAATAGTTTCATAATAATAATAATTTAAACTTTAAATCGATTTGCATGTTGAAAGAAAAAAAGGTTTAACTATTTTATAATAAAATTTAAAAAAATATAATAATTTTTAATTTAAGCCTAATGTGTAATTTAAGCACTTTAAAAGCAATTTTATTTAAAAATTTTAAAATATAATTAAATTTTCATTCTCAAAAAAAAAGAAAAGAAAAAGAAAATGTTCAAAAAGAGAGCATCCATAAAGTACGTACGCAGTAAAACCACTGATTTAGAATCCTTCTTCCGCCATTGTACCCTTTCAAAGCCCCGAACCCTCTTCTGCGTTCGTACGCTTAGTTTATTACAAAACCAACCCCTTTCCGAAAAAAAAATTTAAGTTAATTTGACATACTTATAATACATAGCATAATATTGATTTGATTGACGAGATGGTCAAACCGAAAACATACTCGCTGTATTAAACTTCTCCCATCTTGTACGCATCCGTACATTTTTGGGTACTCCCGCCATACGTACGTACGTACTTTATACCCCAAAGATCAAATGAACTTTGAGGAGTACTTTTTTTTTAATTAAACAATTGCCTGCTCAAACCAAAATCATTGTTTTGATTTTGGCAGAATATTTACTCTCCGCTGTGCCTATTTCTAGATAGTCAGTCTGTATTTATACACTTCACTGCACATATCCCTAAATCAAATCAATCATAATCAGTTAACGAATGTACACTCCACTGCTCTAGATGAGAGAGCAATAAGTTGACTAAATATTTTATGTACTATTTTTTAATAAATTTAATTTCATTAATTAATTTAAAATTTCATCCAATAATCTTTTAGCGCTGAAAAGTTATGGTCTTATAAAATTTGTAACCCCAGCAAATTAATGGGGTTTAAACTTTATATAGTCAAAATCATCAAAAAAACAGTTTTTCACTAATTTCTGTTAGAATCTTTTGTTATATTTTTGTAGATTCTGTGGGATTATTACAAAAAATATTTAAAAAAACCAGAACAAGAGCAATCTAAGTTTTTTTATATAAAAAGATTCGCACGTAAAAAAACGTGCTAACTGATACTCCGGTTTTTATATGCATTTTAGTTTTTAGAAAAAAAATTATAATAAGGAATGAAAAAACCAATTTATTTTAACAAAAGCTAAAGAAATCTATTAAAAATAAAAAATAAAACAGTAAAATATTTAGTAACCATTAGTTAACTGTTTTTTTTTTTCTTTTCAAATTTATTTGTAAGTATTTATAAATTACCAATAACTTACTTGAATAAAAGTATTTATCATTTAAATTTTGAAAATTCTATCTAAGTAAGATTGTTTGCTATAGGAAACAATCCTCCAAATTATATAAGCTATAGCTTATAAAATTTAGAGGGAGTTTATGCGTGGAATCATCTTTATTTTTACGTGAATGATTGTTTGTAAAAACATATGATAATAACTGTACGCGTTAAAATCAGCACATAACATTTGCCATAACAAATGTTATGTGCTGAGGCGTGAACTTCCTATTAAATGCTCTTCCGCGGTGCTCTGTGATAAGACCGTAATGACTTCTTGGGGCACCTAAATCAACTTATATATTATATATATATATATATATATATATATATATATATATATATATATATATATATATATATATATATATATATATATATATATACACACACACACATACATATGTATATGTATAAATAAATGTTTATATTCATTACTTATTGTCTCAATGCGTCTATGACACAATGACTATTAACTGTTAGATATTAAATATTAAGTATTTAAAAAGATATTAAATACTAAAAAAATACTAAAAACAAAAAAAGTTAACATTCTTCAACATTAACAAAGAGAAAAACTTTTTAGTCTATAAAGTGGTTGCTAAGAAATAATTTAAATTAATTAGTTTAAGGTGGTATCTAGCTATTATTTTGGTGAAAAATAAAAAAAAAAATAAAAAATTTGAAAAAATGTTATTCATACAATTGAATATTGTAGAATTCAAAAGAAAAAATATTTTTTCAAAAATAATGTTAGAATATCAAGAATCTTCTTCTCAAACACATCAAGGTATTTTTATGTCAAATAGCAACGACCATAGCAACCGTTTTATCCTATAAGTTAGTCTCTAAAAGTTAGACATACCAAGCCTGTAACTATACTTTTTTTAATGTTTTAAGTTTATATTGGTCTAAATGTCATAAATCTAAGTTACATTGCTATTTTTAACGGTTTAACATCTTGTTGTTGCCTTTTTGAATTCAAATGAAATAGTGCTTTACATTTTTAATTTTTATATCTTACCTATTACAGTTAAAAAGTTGTTGAAAAGTATATTATGGCTAACAAAAAAAGAATAATAAGACCAAGGAAAAGAAAGTTTAACGGCAATCAGCATAATAATTCCAATAATACCAATAAGCAATTTGATACAAACACAGGAAGTTCTACAAGTAGTAAAAAGCTAAAAAATAATCTTGAAAAAACATTATTTGATAACAACGAATTTATATTTTTTATGCATTTTAAACAAATGAAAAGTTGTTTTGAAAAGTATGCTACTTGTAATATATGTGATACAAAGCTTTCCATGTTGCATGATCATTCAAGACACTTGGGTTTTTCTTTGTTTTTTCAAATTTATTGCAGTGGTTGTGCTTTTAAAGATTTTTTTCTTCTCCTGTTGTCAAAAACAATAAACCTAATATAAATACTAGTGAAATTAATGTACGCAGTGTTATGGCATTCAAGGAGATTGGCAGAGGCAGAGATGCAATGTTAACTTTTACCTCCATAATGAACATGCCACCACCTTTATCAAAACCTAGTTTTGACTGTATTAATAGCAAACGTTGCGATGCTTATAAATCAGTTGTTGAGCAAAGTATGAAAAATGTTGCTATGGAAGTTAGGAGAATACTGAAACCTGACTCTAATATGAATGATGTTATTGATTGTGGTGTTTCTATTGATGGTCCCTGGCAGCAAAGAGGATATTCTTCTTTAAATGGTGTTGTGGTAGCAACGTCTCACGACAACAACAAAGTATTGGATACTGTTACATTATCTAAGTTTTGTAAAGGATGTCAAATTTGGGAAGGAAAAAAAGGGACACTCAAATATGAGCAGTGGAAAGTTAATCATTCCTGCCAAGTAAACCACACTAAATCAGCTAGTGCGATGGAGTCAGTTGGTGCAACAGAAATATTTTGCTCTTCAGTAAATAAATATAACATTCGCTATTCTGAATATCACGGAGATGGAGACACTACCTCGTTTAGCACAGTTATTGCACAAAAACCTTATGGTGAAGACCTTGTTCCAATAAAACAAGAATGTATTGGGCATTACCAGAAGCGTACAGGGAATCGACTGCGTCTTAAAAGAAAAGAATTACGACAGGTAAAACTATCTGACTATCTGGTAAAGGTCGTCTCACGGATAAAGTAATTAACATCTTGCAAAATTATGTTGGAATGGCTATTCGACAAAATTCAAATAGTCTTTTGGAAATGAGGAACTCTGTTATAGCTTCACTTCATCACCGCACTAATTTTACCTCTGAAGAATATCGTCATATGTTTTGCACCAAGGGTGTAAAAAGCTGGTGTAAATGGCAGTCTGATAGAGCAACTGGTCATGTTACATACAAGAAAAAGGTGAATTTACCCGTTGCGTTGAATTTGATGCTCTTAATATTAAATCTGGTAGTTACTTTGAAATTGGTGCAAGTAAAAAAAACTATACGGCTAAAAAATATGAACAAAAAAAATGTCAGATGAAACAAAAAAAAAAAAGAGAAAAAAATTAAGATCTGTTAGAAGAAACTATTTTGGACAAAAATTTGATAAAGAAACTGCAAAAGACTATTGTGCTGGTGGTTTTTAACGATTTATCTGAGCAGCATACATGATTTATAAATTTAAAATTGATTTTTCTCAATTTTTGTTTTTTGTATGAGTAGCTGTAGCAAAACAATGATATCTCAATAAAAAAACATTATTTTAGCTTCAAATTTTCAAGATATGTTCATTATTGATGTTTTTAGTGCCTGAACCTGAAAAAACATTTTAAAAAATTAAGCTTAACCTACAATTACCATATCTAATTATTGTTTTATCGCTAAAAATAGTTTTTATATCATTAAGTCTGCCATTTTTGATTGTTAAAATTTTTTTTCCAAAATTTTTGGTTCAGGCACTAGCTACACTAGTGAACTAGCTTTTTGCAAAATTTAAACCTTTAACATTGATTTATTCTTAAGATATTTATGTTCTTGTGACGTTAACATTTTCACCTTTTTTTGCCGAGTCAGCAATTATTTTTTATTAATTAAAAAAAAAAAATTGCATTACGTTTTAGATTTTTATCTATTATTCTAGTAATTCATCATAGGTATTTATTATGTGTAAAATATAAAAAAATAGAACTTATGGCTGGATACCACCTTAAGTTATTTTTGAGGTTTTTTTACTTAATTGTATTTAAATTATCAAAATCTACATGCAATATCGCATATATATATATATATATATATATATATATATATATATATATATATATATATATATATATATATATATATATATATATATATATATATATATATATATATATATATATATATATATATGTATATATATATATATGTATATATATATATATGTATATATATATATATGTATATGTATATATATATGTATATATGTATATATATATATATATATATATATATATATATATATATATATATATATATATATATATATATATATCTATATATATATATATATATATATATATATATATATATATATATATATATATATATATATATATATATATATATATATATTGCATATGCATATACACACACACTCAAACACACACACACACACACAAATAAAAGTAACATCAAAGTTTAGAAGAAATTTAAAATACATTTTTGAAAAAAAAGGTATTTCTTGATTAAGTTGTGTTTATAAAACTGATCTCAATTGATTTTTGTGTTTATAAAACTAATTTAAAAAGACAAGTTTGAGATCAATTCTCTTTATAAAAAGTAAATAAGACTTTTTGCTTCAAGACGGATTCTTTTAGAGTTCATTATCCTAGCCGCTATAGCTGTCAAAGACATTCAATCTTCAGATTTTAAACGAGTTATTTGCTTTTTTTATTTCTTTAAAACAGATTGCTAAAAAACAAAAAGTTTTTGTTAAGTTAAGCGTAATTCAGCTTATGATCAGCGACATCTTAAAGAATTGAAAATAGATTTTACATCATTGAGTGCTATTGCCGACACGGTGTTTAATTATAGTTTACTGTAGCAAACTGTAATTGAACGCCGCTTTTCAAATTGTTTTTTTCTTTAAATTTTATTAAGAAAATTAGATATTTCTAATATTTTTATGAACATTGTTTCTAATATTGTCCTTAATAAAAATTTAAAAAAAAAACAACTTCAAAAGCGGCTTTTATCTAGATAGATAAAGATTTATTTAATTTTAAATGGCACCTAAACTAATCTAACCTAACCATTTTTTTTTATTTTTTATTTTTTAATCTAACCTTATCTAACCTAACCTAACCTATGCAAAAATTTGTGTTTGCTCTTAATTAAATTAAACATTGTTTTGTTTACATTGTTTACAAGAATCTTTCAACAAAAAAACTTCAAAACATTTTAAAAACTTTTATGCATCAATTTTGGTAAAACCGATACTTACATGTGTAAATATATTGTGATTAAAACAAATAATTTAAAAACTTAATTTAGTTAAGATCCCTTTCAATTTTCAATTAATATGTTTTAGAATAACAGAAATATAAAATCAAAATTAAAGTTAACATATTTTAATATTACTTTCTATTTTTTATTTAATGTTTTATATTATCATTGATTTAACATTTTTATGTGCCAACAAAGATCGGACTAACAAGTACTGAAATACTTATTTTTTATAATTAAATATAAAAAAACAATAAAGAAAAGATTGTTACTTTTTGTAGTATTGATATTAATCTTTTCTTCAGTTTCTTCTGTGGAGGTCTCTGCAGTACTAGCAACAAGATCTTCTTTAAAACCATCAGTACTTATTTCACTTGTCGAAGCGTTGTCCATTGTTAATACTATTAAATAAATTTTAAACTGTTATTTTATATAACGAAATTAAAATCAAAAAAAAAAAAGCTAATCTATAGATTATACTAGCTTATCAAAAGATAAGCTAATCGATATCAACAGTTAAATCCAGGTATCTCGAACACCAGGTAACTCGAACTTTTTCTTAACTCAAAATGTTTTCCATAGGGCCTTGAACTCAAAAACAATTGTTTTACTTGAACAAATGTTTAGTCGAACCGTTTTCCTTTGTCTTTTCAAGGTTCGAGTTAGCGAGATTTACTGTATAACTAAGAATTGGGGTTGTAAAATGAAATCAAAAAATATATACAAATTTAAAATGTAGTTTCAATGCATTAAAAGTATAAAAACTAAAATATTAGAAATGATTTAAATATATATTTATCAAATAAATCAACTTACTACATAAAACTGTTATAACACTTGTATAAAATAACATTTTGTGTGTAATCTTTTTTATAATTTTAATATCTTTTTTTAAATCTTTGCCAAATGCTTTTATTACCTTTTTTATGCAGGTAGCATGAATATGGTATTTTATTTATACTAGAATGTTGTACGCATAATGAGCGTCATAAAAGGAAGTGTGACGAAGCATTAACGAAACAATTTACTACTAAAATTTACCGCAACAAGGAAGCGTCACTGCAATAAATTTTCACTATGGAAAGATGTGATTCAGACTTAAAAATAACAATAATCGTTTGATAATTTTAGTCAATTATTTATAGATGATTGTTTAGATGAGATGAGAATATATATATATATATATATATATATATATATATATATATATATATATATATATATATATATATATATATATATATATATATATATATATATATATATATATATATATATATATTCTTATCTCATCTAAAATTATATATTCTTTGTTGCGTAACGACGCCAAGTTAATAATTGCTCGCTAGTTAATGAAGAAATAATTGTTTAATAAAGATTTAGAGAACCAGTATGACGTTCAGTTAGAGCCAAAAAATAATTAAAAAAAAGTCTTTTATAAACTGAAACATGATATTTTACGCAAAATCCTACGCAAAAAAATCTCTAAATTTTACTTAAATAGCCTTAACTTTTAATTTCTTTAAATAACTAATTATGTAATAGTCGTGTATTTTGCTTTATTTTCATTTTTTAAATCAAAGTTGCGTTTATTTTTTTAGTCGCATCTAACATAGCTAGTTATTGTTTGAATTTTGAATTTAAAATGTGCTGGGGTGCAGGTTATGTTTAGTTTTATTGTAGTTAAGTTTTATGCATCAAGATTGTGTTAAGGGTGGGACTCGGACTCTCCTTATTATCCAAAATCACACAAAAAGTTAAGTTACTGTTTAAAATGCAGTACGTACCTGAACCTCGCTTACAGTTATTTGAACTTATACATTGGTTGGTAATTAAACAACTTTGATAAGCATCAAATAACTTGGGCATAAATTTTACTATAAACCATTAATTCCTTTTGATTGCTCTTAGTGTGAAAGCATGTTAGAGTTGTTTGCTTTAAATACTAAAGTAGCTGCAAAATAACTTAATCCTTTTTAAATATCTTTAGCTTTTAAAAACATTGTCCAAAACTACTAATGCAAATAAAACTAATTAATGCAATAAATTAATAAACTACTTAAACATTTTAAAATATTTTCTTAATCATTAAATCATAATCTGGTTAACCAGACTATTACTATTTATCATGTTTCTACAACTTCTAGCTATCTTCCATATGCTAAAGAATAGATTAATACCATATAAATATGAATAAATACTTAGCTCCAAACGTAACTGTAACAATGCTTCTCTTAAAGTTGGGAACATCTGAAATTGAAAAAGCTATATTAGTTGAGCTTTTATAAATTCAACTCAAATTTAGATATGTTTAAGGTTTAGAATTATAATGCTATACGACAAATAAAATTTGCGCAAATATATTTATTAAGGAAACATTTATAGTGCATATCTTGTGGATTATTATTCTGTGAGTATCAGCTAAAAATACAATAAAATCATATGCGGATCTAATAAAATTTTAATTATCAAACATCTGTTTAATCTATAGTAGCATCCCAGGCACGAACGTAAAAAAGACAACTTTTAAACAACTTATAAACATTTTCGACGTCTTTTGAACGTCTTTTGAACGTTTTTGACGTCTTTTGAATGTTCAACAGACGTTTTTTTTAGGTTCGGTGCCCACTGGGATGTGCCATGAGTTTTTAGTTAATAGCTAGCGAGCATCAATGCTTATTAGTAAGACTGGAGTTGGCTACATCGTTTTGTAGCTGTTAGCTAGTCAATAATAAAGCATACTATTATTAGTCTACGAAATAAAAGAAGAGAAAAACTCAAACAAAAAACTAAAAAATTCCAGTATAGGTTTGCCTGATACCTATTAAAAAAAAATTGCTGCATAGTAAATCTTACTTCAACATTTTGTTTGATAAAAAAATAAGAAGTATAGGTTATTTTGGAAAAACAACAATCAATTTAAACTTTAAAACTATTCTTCATACCACTTTTAAACAAATCAAATAAATGTGATGTATATGCTAAACTAATACCAAAATTTTAAGCCAACTGATATAGGTTGACAACGTTTCAACATTTCGTCTGGTCAAGGTTGGCACGCAGGTTATTCCGTTGGCTGACCGATAACAGTCTAATACAAATCCGTACAAAAAAGCAATACCTGATACTAACCAGAAGCGTACCGATGGCCCGCTGGGCCCGCAGCCGCGGGAGGGCCTAGACTTATTACGGGCCCAAGCCAAATATTCCAAGTATATTTAACCACATTTTTGCTATTATTGTATAGCTAAGAATTACAAATTCTTAATAATAAGAACTATTTTTTTTATAGCTAAGGAAAAAACTCTTAGCTATACAATATGCAACATACTTGTTTCAAATAAATTAAATCAAAATTGTATTTAAAAATAAGGCTTTTGTTTTCACGTATAACTTGTTTTGAGGGGGAGAGGGGAGGGGAGAGAGAGAAGTAATTTAGGGGCCCGGATTAAAATTTTGTGGGCAGGCCTATTTTTTTCGCTATGCTACTGATACAAACCCGATAATGTCAACCAATTTGATAAAACATTCTAATCATTAAAACAAAAGATAAAATAACGAACAAAAATAAATATTTTTATTTTAATAATAAATAGTTTAAGTTTTAACAACAAATAACTAATAACAATTTAAAAATTAAGTTTTGAAAATATTTTATTAGAACTAACAAATAGAATGTTGTTTAACTAAAATATTTATCATATATAAAAAAAACATTGTGGAAAAAATAGAAAAGCTACCCAAAAATCCTGTCAATGTTGTTTTTATAATTAATAAGTTATTAAGTAAAATAATATAGTTAAAAAGATTTTTAACATATTTTTAGTATCAAGGGGGTACATAGGTAAAAAAACGAATTTCTTTAATATAATATTTTCTTGATATCTTATGTTTCCTAATTGTTAATACTCATTTAAAATAAAATAAAAAAAGAAAAAAAAAATTTAAAATTATAATTAAGTACCCAGTGGACAGGGCAACATCCATATGACGTTAAAAAGACGTCTTTTTAGGACGTCTAGAACTAGTTCTAATTGGCAACGCCAGATGACGTCTTTTTAGGACGTAATTAAGACGTCTTTTTAGGACAGAATAAAGACGTGTTTTTTAGACGTCTAAAAGATGTGAACTTAGAACGTTTACAACTAGTGCTAAATAGACACGCCAAATGACGTTTCTAAATAAACTAATTTAGCCGTCCTCATTTCGACGTCTATAATACGTGTCTTTACATGGCTTTACTCAAACGTAAGATTTAAACTTATGTTTACACTGAACTTTTTGAGAATAGGTAAAAAATAAAAATTTGCGTAAACTTTTTAATAATATAATTATGCTAAGTTTTATAAATTATAATTTTTTTAAACTTCTTCATCTACATGTTAATTTCCAAGAATCGATTGTTTGAACACTTGACGTCATTCACCTTCTTTTAGATCAGGTGTGGGCTGTAGATTATTGCCAATAGCATTTTAAAGTTCTTTTTTGCTGTAGGAATCAGGTAAAGTCTTGAACCTAAAAAAAATTGTAAAGATAAGTATGTAAAAATAAAGGAGAAAAGAATTAAATGAAAATTTATAATACACTTTATGACGTAATATATATATATATATATATATATATATATATATATATACATATATATATATATATATATATATATATATATATATATATATATATATATATATATATATATATATATATATATATATATATATATATATATATATATATATATATATATATATATATATATATATATATATTAATACACACACACAAACAATTATCACCAACATTTACTAACTTCTATTTCTAAATTCAAAGGATAACACTAGTATAAGTGATATGGGACAATTTAGTGTAAGTTATATTGGTCATAGATAATTCATTAGTGTTTTGATCAATTCGATAATATTGTGTATGTATATTTACAATATAAAAATTTGTTATGTAATTTATGATAATAATTTACCCTTATAAAGAAAACTAAACATTAAACCATAATAAAAAATATACCACTTTTTTTGTAACATATTTATTAAAAAATAAAAAGCGATTGATCACATTCAAGATACTCAGAGGTAAAATCACACTAGTAAAGATAAAAACTATTTTCAACTTTAAACATTTTTTAAGTAATTAAATGAGCCTATATATTAGTTGATTTAAAAATAAAAATATGCTATTATAGTTTATATATATATATATATATATATATATATATATATATATATATATATATATATATATATATATATATATACACACAACAGAACTAGGATTCGCTCAGAAAATTCTGAGCGGCGCTCAATTTGTCGTTCAGCAGCTTTTTATAAACGGACGCACGCAAATCTGCTCATAAAATTTCTTGAGCAGGCGCTCCATTCAT